TTAGTATATGAATAAACCGTAACAAGATACAATAATGGTGGAATTATTTTTGTAGTCCAGCCTGAACAAGATGTAAATAGTAATTATTGTTTGCTGGAATTGTAATATCTCTTCGGTTTAAAGGTTGAATCAGCTTAAGTACCTACTGCAATCTGAAAATCACAGATTTGATCTTCAGTAAAATTTCTAAGGGTACTATTCCAGCAAAAAGTACCATATCACTGATCATTTTTTTTGTTTTGCTTTGGTCCCAGTGGTATTCCTATCTTTTAATCATAAACATTTTTCCATTGTTTTACTAGCAGTGGTAGATTCTGACCATGTATTTTCCTATGTAGATAATGGGCGTATGGAAAAGAAAAAAGTTAATCTTCTAAAGATTTATGAGTTTCTAATTATGGTTATGTTAAAATAAGACAACACAAAACACTAATAGAAACATTTATTTCAAACACAATTCAAGGAGACTCCGATAAACAAGGAAATGGAATTGAGGTCCAATAGTAATACACAAAATATCTATAGGTAACTGTACGTAACAATTCTATGCGCTTCAAGAAAATGTTACAATCCCTGTCAAACGTCTAACATCGAATGTTCTTCGTCTGTCTCCCTTTATCCAGCGTTCCTGCATCGGGTGACGCAGTTTGGCGTCAAATATGTGCCGATAACCCCTTCGACCATATATATACTAGACACGCCATTCGTTTCGAATAGTGAAGTAAACATCCGCCGTGACGCCAGTAAAGGGCAAAAACTTTACTCGCTGTTGTATACTCGCTTGTCATTTATGAATTTAATCGTGGTATAGCAATAAGATGCATTTAAAATTAAAATTAATTAATCTAGTTTAGTACCTGAATGCAAATCATTAATAGAAATAAATGCAAAGAAATCGTTCATGTACAGTTTATTAAACAAATTGTATGTATGAAAGAAAATTATACATATAGGCATCATAACTAACTACTGCAGCTACTGATTCGAAAAAAGGATTAATTTTGTAAATTTGTTTCGAATTCTTTTTTCCCTTTCCGCAATAAATGCATCTGCAGCGTGGTGTAATCGAACTTTACAATAATTGTAAATAATTAATTTTATGAAATGATATAGATGATTGTTTTTAGGAGTTTCATCAAATATATGATCATGGAAAAAACTGGAAAAAACCCACCCACCGAGATTATTCATTATGTCTACAACCAATTTTTCCATGAAGGAATTTCCTTTCATTTTAACGGCCTGAAGAGGTTTACTAAATTCAGTTAATCGAATTTGTCTCTCAGCAGTGTTACAAATGGATATCACTGCTGTGGAAGGCTGAATTAAATATTTCTTTGATTCCTCATAATTTTTTAACTGAATAAATGTGCTAGTTATTTCCCTATGTACTTCAAGCGCATCTGCACATTTGCTGCAATCTAACTTTTTTTTTATCTTATTAACGACAAATCCAGAAATATAAGCTATAACGTCATTGTTATACCTTGAAAATTGATTTTCAAGATTTCTGTATACAATTGATGAATCATCGCGTGAATAGCAAGGTATTAAACAGTAGTCGTGGTCAAAACTAACCATTTCAGTTTCTGACGTACTTTCATGGGGTTCATAATTTAAAAAGTTGTCGATTTGTGNAGTGGTAGCTGCTGTTATCATTATTACTGTATCCGCTTACATATATACTAGACACGCCATTCGTTTGGAATAGTGAAGTAAACATCTGCCGCCGCCGTGACGTCAGTGAAGGGCAAAAACTTTATTCGCTGTTGTATACTCGCTTCTCATTTACGAATTTAATCGTGGTATAGCAATAAGATGCATTTAAAATTAAAATTAATTAATCTAGTTTAGTACTTGAATGCAAATCATTAATAGAAATAAATGCAAAGAAATCGTTCATGTACAGTTTATTAAACAAATTGTATGTATGAAAGAAAATTATACATATAGGCATCATAACTAACTACTGCAGCTACTGATTCGAAAAAAGGATTAATTTTGTAAATTTGTTTCGAATTCTTTTTTCCCTTTCCGCAATAAATGCATCTGCAGCGTGGTGTAATCGAACTTTACAATAACTGTAAATAATTAATTTTATGAAATGATATAGATGATTGAATTGAGGAGTTTCATCAAATATATGATCATGGAAAAAACTGGAAAAAACCCACCCACCGAGATTATTCATTATGTCTACAACCAATTTTTCCATGAAGGAATTTCCTTTCATTTTAACGGCCTGAAGAGGTTTACTAAATTCAGTTAATCGAATTTGTCTCTCAGCAGTGTTACAAATGGATATCACTGCTGTGGAAGGCTGAATTAAATATTTCTTTGATTCGTCATAATTTTTTAACTGAATAAATGTGCTAGTTATTTCCTCATGTACTTCAAGCGCATCTGCACATTTGATGCAATCTAACTTTTTTTTTATCTTATTAACGATAAATCCAGAAATATAAGCTATAACGTCATTGTTATACCTTGAAAATTGATTTTCAAGATTTCTGTATACAATTGATGAATCATCGTGTGAATAGCAAGGTATTAAGCAGTAGTCGTGGTCAAAACTAACCATTTCAGTTTCTGACGTACTTTCATGGGGTTCATAATTTAAAAAGTTGTCGATTTGTGTATACCCTCACCCTCGAGATTTTGAGGAACTGACTGACAGAATAATTGAAGGTGTTAATTCAATGCAGTTATGGACCCACTTACGCTAGTGTGTAACAAAAGCTGTTTGTGTGACGCTTTAAATTGTTTAGGTGTAGGATTATTATTATGACCTCCCCTACTTCGAATTGCGCTGAAAAATACTTCTAAGTAGTCTTGGCACATTTTTTAAGACCAAATAAATTTTAAATATTTTTCTTGTTCAACAAGAGTTTCATAGAGACCTTTAAGTGATTTTAAAGAAATCATTAAGCCAATAAAACCAGTTTTACGTTGGCTTACACATAGCGGTTCTCTGGAAGAAGATTTTAGTTGTTTTATATATTCAAGAGATTCATTTATCCTACAAAAAGAAAATTCCCTATTTTTCTCGTTAATGCCACATTTAAATCCTTTAGCAAGGAAATTGCGGCTATTTAAAATATGAAAAATATCATTAAAAAAAAAATGAAAATTATAGGTATAGAGGTACCGCACCGAATACTGTCGACAACAATGTATGAATGAAAATTGAAGGGTAGTCAACCTTTTTTGCAAAACTTACCAAAAACTGTGCCAGGACAACTTAAAGGGATGCTAGTAGAGTGGCGAAAATTATCTGTGACTGTGAAATCTGTAAAAAAAATGAAAATTATAGGTATAGAGGTACCGCACCGAATACTGTCGACAACAATGTATGAATGAAAATTGAAGGGTAGTCAACCTTTTTTGGAAAACTTACCAAAAATTGTGGCAGGACAANTTCAGTTTTACCCCTACTCCGCGGCCGGCTGTAATGCCACATGCGATAGATGGACGAAAAAATTTGAGGCGGTGTAATAAATGTTTCACTATAAAAAAAAAAATGGGTGCGTGTACTTATGTACGCGCGTGAGAAGTTATACTTCTTTGGCATCATTAAAAATAGAAAAATACACAACATGTCAAAATCTTCTGTCACACAATGATAAAGAAAAGACGTATGTAATAAAAAACAATAAAACAAATAACGGATGTCTTACATTATATTTAAATAATCTATTAAATTTTTGTCACGAACTTTTTATTAAATGTTCTATTAAATTTATTTCTTTATTTTGTAAATATTAAATAACCAATAATAAATATTCAACATTGATAATTTAATAATATTTAGTATTAATTATATTAAATAATGATATTTTAATTTATATCAATAAATAATACATAGGGATAACTAACCTCAATTATATTGGAGCACTTAAAAAAGTATTTTAGCACAATTTTTTCACTAATATTCACAAATAGTAAATAATATTAATCCAAATATTCAATTTAAATCACTACTGAATATATTTTATTGCCACATATATAATTCGCACTTGTATGAAAATAAAACACGTGTTGTGACTGTAAAAACTAAAACCATGTGGATAAATATTATAAATAAATATGAAAACAGTGATCAGAGGCGACAAGCGTACCAACATGCGCGACTAAGAGAGGTTTTATTTCTATTTCGTTGGTAGCTTTTTTCCGAGACTTAATGAATTCGGTTGAGTGGGCAACTTCATGATGTTAATTTTGTGTTACAGTGATGCGCGCGCATCTTGAAATTTCACTCTCATCAGTTTTTCATAACGCGCCTAAAGAAGTATAACTTCAATAATAGGAAGCGTTCTGTTGCTTCTGTATCTGCAAAATCATCAGAATACCTAATCTGCCTCCAATAACATAGAGTTTTCGAGACACTACAACTGAAAGTTTGTGCAGCCAATTTGACCTTCATTTTTTCTTGAAACCAATTTATATGTCTTCTGGTGATTCTGGTTGCAAGATGTAACCCTTCTTTCTCTTGAACATCAATTAATTTTTCTAAATAATCCCATTTGATAGGTTGTTCATATTCATCAAAAAATATCTTATTTGTACCCAATACGTTTCGAATTAATTTTAGCATATGGGGGGGATCTAATAAAAAATAGACGGGTTTGTTTGTGACAGGGTGCGAAAAGTAAGTTTTTTGGGAGTCAGGAGAAATATCAACACCTAAATGTGTGGCCATCGCTGTATTTGAGGCTGCTCCATCGCAAGTTAAGCTACAAATAGTAACACCTGTTTCATGAAGAAGTGTTAATGGTTTCCTAATCAAATTAGCTTTTTGATTTCCATTCAGGCTACAAATAAAAAAGTATCCTATGGGAAGCTATCAAGTATCATTCATGCAATTTATTAAGAAAACAAATGCTTCTTTGGCTTCTATAAGATCGTCACTATTTGTATCACCCACTAAATCAACATACCTAAAACAAGTTTCAATTTTAACATTATTGTTTATTATTGGATAACTATTGTCTTTCATTATTTTAAAGATGTACAAGTATAAAAATAGAAAACAGTAACATGCAAAATTCTATAGTGTTTACCCAATAAACCGCTCACCATCCCATTCAATTTTCTTACACAATGAAATTTCGTCTACCATTAAGCTACAAATACAAACTTTGTCTCTCATTTGCATTTCAAGTACTTTATCTTTTAAAGTACGCATTGACTCTGCATTAAAACCAGGTTCACATTCGATTATTTGATACTGTAGTATCGGGAATGCGTGCTTTTTAGTTTATGGTAGGCTTAAAGTAATTTAGGAATAGTTTGTAATTTTAAGGGATTAAGCAATTGTTATCCGTATGTTTAGAATAAGAAGCAAAATATTTTTAAGCAATAAACTTTAAGAAAACTACTGCGTCCTCTCCAGCCTTAGGGTTTTATTAGCTGACTGAAGGTACCATGAGAAAGTGACAAAATTGACACCTGCAACGTTGGGGCAAAGAGAGACAAAGAGGATATACTTGACTGAGGGTCTCAAAAACATTACGGTCAGTCTTGTGAGGTAGAGTTGAATCAGTTCTCGAAGACAGCGGTTGTAGAGTATCGAATTTGTACGAACTTATGATATGTTCGTTTTGTATTTCATTTTATTTAATAAACACTTTTAATTCCTCCGAATTCTAAACTAACTTCACTATTATTAGTCCCATAATACCACTTTTGTAATGTGCGAGGATGAGGAAGTGCATTATTAAAATTTTTTCTAACGAATTGGTAACCTTTTGGGGAATAGAAGGTAAGCGTTAAAGCAAACTTTTTTAATTCTACTGGATAAACGCGTTGTTTTCTTTGTAATATCTGCTTAAACAACACTTTGGTCGAATGTGGCACAGTACTCTACAATGTTTCATTCTTCAACCACCAAAATAGTAACATGCATTGATGTAAATTAGTTATTTAAGTATCTGTAAATACTCTCCAAAAGTACATAATGTTAAACTTTACCTCTATTACTACAGCTGATAACAATTTCTTCTGTTTAAGGTGTTGCATTAAAGAGTGGATACTATTAATACGCTTCCTAAGTAGCCGATTTTGCTGTTGCAATATTTTATTTTTTTTATTTTTCTCCCTTATAATTTCAATTTAGATTTATTAACCAGATAGATACATGTTATTACATAGTAAATCCTGCAGAAGTAATCGAAGTTACTTGTGCGCAGGGCCGGTTATAAAAATTAAACTTAAAATTAGAAACTTAAAACTAAAAATACAATNGTACATGGTAATACCGGTAATGTCACCATTGAATGATATCATCTTTTAACCAGTTCCCAAAACTAACGTATTAATATAATATATTTTTAACTTAATTGCACAATTAATACCTCTAATAAATAACAATTATATATATCTTTTATCCATTCTTTAAATTTTGCTTTAGTATATTTGAACACATTAACTCTTTTAAGTTGATCAGGGAGTTTATTGAAATTTATAGTAGCTGTCATAATACTCATTCTTTTGCTAACAGCTTTTTTCATTAGTGGTATAGATATTTGCTTATTTTTTGTTTTGCTTTTTGAATTCAAGAAAGTATTTCTTAGTTCATAGTAGTGGAAGCTTAATGATTCAAGAACAAAAGATTGTTCAATATTTAGTGGGTCTTTATCATTTATAAAATTATTCTTATTGACAATTTTTAATAGACGTGTTTGTAATCTTTGTAATAAGCCTAGAACATTTGTATATGCTCCACCCCAAGCTATTATACCATAAGTAGCTATGCTATGAAAAAAGAAGTAGTATATCGTTCTTAGTGTTACTGTCGTCATTACTTTGGCCAGTTTATAAAATAAAAATATTAAGTATTTAGTTAATGTATTGAACATGTTCCTCCCATCTCATATTGTAATCAAAAATAATTCCTAGATATTTACAACTATTAACCCTTTTAATTTTAGTCCCAGCTATTCGTATATTAATATTTTTTGGAACACTATCACAGTAATTACCAAAGGTAATAAAAACAGTTTTATCAATGTTCAGCGATAACTTGTTTAGTGCTAGCAGCGCAGAGAATTGTTGTAAATAGTGGTTCATCCTTGTTTCCACTCCAATCCAATCCTTATCAAAGGCTATTAGAGCAGTATCGTCAGCGTAAGAAATCACAGCATCCGTTGGCATAGATGTTAGTAGTCATTGATGTAAAGTATAAAGAGTAAAGGACCAATTACCGTTCCTTGTGGAACTCCAGTTGTTATTTCCTTGTAGTCCCCATAGCAGCCATTAATTCTGATACATTGTTGTCTATTAAGTAAGTAGCTTTCAAGCAATTGAAAAGCCATACCTGTAATTCCATAATTCTGCAGTTTATCTAACAATATCTTGTGATCTACTGTGTTAAATGCCTTAGCAAGGTCCAGAAAAGTGACTGCAATAGGTACACTGTTATTAAGTTTATTGTATATAATATTAGTGATAAGTTTATTGTATATAATATTAGTGATATGATGCAAGGCATCATTGGTCCCTCTAACTCTCATAAATCCAAATTGCAGATCCGAAATTATCTTGTGCTTGTTAACAAAGTCTATAATTCTATTGTAGATAAGCTTTTCAAATATTTTAGCTACATATGTTGGATATCAACGATATTGGTCTGTAATTGGTGACATTGGTTTTACTTTTATTGATTCTGGTTGCAAGATGTAACCCTTCTTTCTCTTGAACATCAATTAATTTTTCTAAATAATCCCATTTGATAGGTTGTTCATATTCATCAAAAAATATCTTATTTGTACCCAATACGTTTCGAATTAATTTTAGCATATGGGGGGGATCTAATAAAAAATAGACGGGTTTGTTTGTGACAGGGTGCGAAAAGTAAGTTTTTTGGGAGTCAGGAGAAATATCAACACCTAAATGTGTGGCCATCGCTGTATTTGAGGCTGCTCCATCGCAAGTTAAGCTACAAATAGTAACACCTGTTTCATGAAGAAGTGTTAATGCTTTCCTAATCAAATTAGCTTTTTGATTTCCATTCAGGCTACAAATAAAAAAGTATCCTATGGGAAGCTATCAAGTATCATTCATGCAATTTATTAAGAAAACAAATGCTTCTTTGGCTTCTATAAGATCGTCACTATTTGTATCACCCCCTAAATCAACATACCTAAAACAAGTTTCAATTTTAACATTATTGTTTATTATTGGATAACTATTGTCTTTCATTATTTTAAAGATGTACAAGTATAAAAATAGAAAACAGTAACATGCAAAATTGTATAGTGTTTACCCAATAAACCGCTCACCATCCCATTCAATTTTCTTATGCAATGAAATTTCGTCTATCATTAAGCTACAAACACAAATTTTGTCTCTCATTTGCATTTCAAGTACTCTATTTTTTAAAGTACGCATTGACTGCATTAAAACCAGGTTCACATTCGATTGTTTGATACCACTTTTGTAATGTGTGAGGATGAGGAAGTGCATTATTAAAATTTTTCCTAACGAATTGGTAACCTTTTGGGGAATAGAAGTTAAGCGTTAAAGAAAACTTTTTTAATTCTACTGGATAAACGCGTTGTTTTCTTTGTAATATCTGCTTAAACAACACTTTGGTCGAATTTGACACAGTACTCTACAATGTTTCATTCTTCAACCACCAAAATAGTAACATGCATTGATGTAAATTAGTTATTTAAGTATCTGTAAATACTCTCCAAAAGTACATAATGTTAAACTTTACCTCTATTACTACAGCTGATTCATCTGTTAACAATTTCTTCTGTTTCAGGTGTTGCATTAAAGAGTGGAAGAGTGTTGTTGCAAAATTTTAATTTTTTTATTTTGCTCCCTTATAACTTTAGTTACAATTACTTTATATGTAGGATCTACTGCAGCTGAATTGCGATCTTCCTNGGCCACTTCAGCATTTACAGAAAGAGTATTCTCTGTTATGAACGCAAAGTGGCGGGACGACAGGAATAAAGTTTCATTAAAACTAATTAAAAATGAACTCTTAGTTTACTCAAATCTTTGTTTGCCATGTTTAGAGGCTATTAATGTATTTAAGAGCGACAGCAATTTGTTACTGGCTGCTAGGTGTAACAAGAAATATGTTTTTAAAAACAAAAAATTAAATACCTTATCTTTATGCCGAGTACTTTTTTTTTAACCTTTTAGTCGAAAAATACGTTATATAAAGCCTGAAAAGGTGGCTACCCTATTCATAGTGTACAAATAATACCATTAAACCAATTCCTTAAACCCTATCCCGGTATGTGTTTGTGCTTAAAGAAGTTTCACTTCAGTAGCATGTCTTGAATTTTTTTATTTGTATGTTATTGTAGTTAAAAATCGTATTGGTATTATCTCCGGCAAGGGAAACTTTTTTTATCCGAAAATATGGCAGTTAAGATTTTTTTATAAGAGGTGTGTACATGGTAATACCGGTAATGTCACCATTGAATGATATCATCTTTTAACCAGTTCCCAAAACTAACGTATTAATATAATATATTTTTAACTTAATTGCACAATTAATACCTCTAATAAATAACAATTATATATATCTTTTATCCATTCTTTAAATTTTGCTTTAGTATATTTGAACACATTAACTCTTTTAAGTTGATCAGGGAGTTTATTGAAATTTATAGTAGCTGTCATAATACTCATTCTTTTGCTAACAGCTTTTTTCATTAGTGGTATAGATATTTGCTTATTTTTTGTTTTGCTTTTTGAATTCAAGAAAGTATTTCTTAGTTCATAGTAGTGGAAGCTTAATGATTCAAGAACAAAAGATTGTTCAATATTTAGTGGGTCTTTATCATTTATAAAATTATTCTTATTGACAATTTTTAATAGACGTGTTTGTAATCTTTGTAATAAGCCTAGAACATTTGTATATGCTCCACCCCAAGCTATTATACCATAAGTAGCTATGCTATGAAAAAAGAAGTAGTATATCGTTCTTAGTGTTACTGTCGTCATTACTTTGGCCAGTTTATAAAATAAAAATATTAAGTATTTAGTTAATGTATTGAACATGTTCCTCCCATCTCATATTGTAATCAAAAATAATTCCTAGATATTTACAACTATTAACCCTTTTAATTTTAGTCCCAGCTATTTGTATATTAATATTTTTTGGAACACTATCACAGTAATTACCAAAGGTAATAAAAACAGTTTTATCAATGTTCAGCGATAACTTGTTTAGTGCTAGCAGCGCAGAGAATTGTTGTAAATAGTGGTTCATCCTTGTTTCCACTCCAATCCAATCCTTATCAAAGGCTATTAGAGCAGTATCGTCAGCGTAAGAAATCACAGCATCCGTTGGCATAGATGTTAGTAGTCATTGATGTAAAGTATAAAGAGTAAAGGACCAATTACCGTTCCTTGTGGAACTCCAGTTGTTATTTCCTTGTAGTCCCCATAGCAGCCATTAATTCTGATACATTGTTGTCTATTAAGTAAGTAGCTTTCAAGCAATTGAAAAGCCATACCTGTAATTCCATAATTCTGCAGTTTATCTAACAATATCTTGTGATCTACTGTGTTAAATGCCTTAGCAAGGTCCAGAAAAGTGACTGCAATAGGTACACTGTTATTAAGTTTATTGTATATAATATTAGTGATAAGTTTATTGTATATAATATTAGTGATATGATGCAAGGCATCATTGGTCCCTCTAACTCTCATAAATCCAAATTGCAGATCCGAAATTATCTTGTGCTTGTTAACAAAGTCTATAATTCTATTGTAGATAAGTTTTTCAAATATTTTAGCTACATATGTTGGATATCAACGATATTGGTCTGTAATTGGTGACATTGGTTTTACTTTTATTCTTATGAATAGGGATAACCTCAGCACTTTTAAAGTCTCAGGCCACACAGATTCATCAATACACCGATTGAAAATGTAGACCAATGGTTCGAGTATAAATGGCTGTATAGCCTTTAATGTTCTGACATCAATGCCATCCACACCACCGCCTTTCAGCTCCATTCGGTCTATTATCATAGCAATCTCATATGCTGAGATTGATGCCAGAAAGATGGAATGCTGATTAGGGATGGGCAGTGCGTTTATGACATTTGTTGGTTGTTGTATAGTATTACTGA